GGGGTCTGAAAACGAAGGGAGAAGAGAGAAAGAGTCCAAGGAAAGGGGTCTGAAAATGAAGGGAGAAAGAGTCCAAGGAAAAGAGGTCTGAAAACGAAGGGAGAAAGGGTCCAAGGAAGAAAGAAAATGAAGGGAGAAAGGGTTCAAGGAAGAAAGAGAGGTCTGCAAATGAAGAGAGAAGGAAAAAGGGGCCAAGAACAGAAAGAGGGGGATGAGGATGAAAGGAGAAAGAGAAGGAAGCCGGTTCTGTTGTATGGATGCAAGCTGAGTCTGCACTGAAGAAATAATGCAGTTTGACATCGCTCTAACTGCCATAGCTCCGTCCTATGGACTTCTAGGATCTTCAGTTTTCTTTGTGGTACCAGAGCTCTCTGATAGAAAAAGCTACGGTAAGTATCTCACAAAATTGTACATCCCAGAATTCCATAGCCTTGAGCCAGGGCATTTAAAGCAGTGTAAAACTGCAATGCAGATGCAGCCAAAGTTAATGTGTTGCTTGGGTATAGGTTCTTTAACAAATAATTCTGCACAATGAGAGAAGAGTACCCTTGAAGATTTATCTAAAGAAGACCCAAGTTCCTTAATTTGGAGGTTATATATGTCTGTTGTGTGCCTTCAAATTTTTCCTGACTTATGGTGATCATAGGGTTTTCTTGGCAAGATCCACTCAGAGGCGGTTTGTCATTGCCTTCCCCTGAGGCTGAGAGTGTGTGACTTGTCCAAGTTCACCCAGTGGGTTTCATGGCAGAGTGGGGAAATCAAACCCAGGTCTCCAGAGTGGTAGTCCAACACTCAAACCACTACACCACACTGACTCCTATTCCCATGTACTACCTATGAAACAATTGTAGACTTTTTTGTTGTTCTTGTGTGCCTGCAAATCTCCCTGCCTTTTCCCCCCTCCTCCCACCTTTCCTCCTGTCCTCCTGTTCAAAAAGGGTTTGCCATTGCTTTTCTCTGAGGCTGAGAGAGTGTGATTTTCAAGACTGTTGTTGTGTGCGTTCAAGTTGTTTCTGTTTGGCAACTCAAACATGAACCTATCCTGGGGTTTCCTTCACAAGGTTTGTTCAGAAAGAGTTTTCCATTGCTGGTCCCTGAGGCTAAGAGAGTGTGACTTTCAAGACTGTTGTTGTATGCCTTCAAGTCCTTCCTGACTTTTGGCAACTCAAAGTTAAAGTTATCCTGAGGTTTCCTTCACAAGGTTTTTTCAGAAATGGTTTGCCTTTGCTTTTCCCTCAGGCTGAGAGAGTGTGACTTTCAATACTGTTTTTGTTGTTGTGCATCTTCAAGTCATTTCCAACTGATGATGACACTATCATGACACCTATCATGAACCTATCATTTCTTTCCTATGTGTTTTTTCAGACAGGGTTTGCCTTTACCACCCTCTGGGGCTGAGAGAGTGTGACATCTAAGATTGTTGTTGTTGCTGTATTCCTTTGAGTCATTTCCAACTTACAGCAAACCTAAGGCTCATAGTGTTTGCTTGGCAAGGTTTATTCAGAGGGGAGTTTGCCATTGCCATCTCCTGAGTCTGAGAGAGTGTGACTTGCCTGAGGTCACCCAGGGGGATTCCATGGCTGAGCCAGGATTCGAACCCTGGTTTCTAGAGTCATACTCTGATAATCAGACAGGGTGACCAAATGTCTTCAATGCAAAGGAGGACAAGTCACTACTAAATATGTGGGACATATAAGGAAAAAAAGTAGAGAAAGCTAAAAACACTAATATAAATGTAAATCCATGCTTCTTAGCCGTGCTCAAAATGGAGGACGTTTTAATGGTCAAAATGGTGACTTTTAACCTTATCATGGGGTTTTCTTGGCATGTTTCTTCAAATGGGGGTAGCCATTACCATCCTCTGAGGCTGAGAGTGTGTAACATGGCCAGGTTCACTTACTTGGGTGCAAATTGTACATACCCCAGAATGCATATTGGCAGTCCTTCCCCCCAAAACTTTCTCATTTCACCCCAACCATCTCATAGTTGGGAGATGGAAATAATTTTTAAAGCAGCATTTATGGTAAATCAGGATTATTTTTGAAAAACTAAGGTCCAAAATACACTGCAGAAATAAATGTTAGGAAACACGTGGGAGCTGTAGTTTGTTGTATTTATAAGTAACAGTTTTTCTGCTAAGTACCTGCATGTTATAAGCATTTGAATTAGATTTACCATATTGAAATCAAATCTGATGTTTTTAAAATTTTTATGGTGTGTGTTGGAAGAGTGGGGTCGTCTTATACAGCGAGTATATCCTAAACTCTATATTTTAACTGGGAAAGTTGGGGGTCGTCTTATATGCGCAGTTGTCTTATACGCCGGAAAATATGTATTCTTTCTTGTTTTTCCCTGGTGTTGTTTAATATCTCAATCAATATTAATTAGCCAATCTACCCTAGTTGTTTTGATATCTATACAATAAAATTCTATAAACTGTATTTTAACTAGTTAATTTTCCTAGACTTTTCTCCCTTCCAAATTTGAAATCGTTGTTTTGTTTTGTAAAATCTTGTCACTTTTCACAACTACTATTACACTACTATATGATGCTGTTATATAATACAATCTCTCTTCAAAACCACATGAAGTTATTAATTCAAGGTCAAATCAAAGTCAGTGAAACACCATATCATTCTAAATATTCTATAGTATATCCTTAATAGATCTAGGTATATAGTCAAATGTTTCCAAACAAAAACACTACCACTAAACCATCCAATTATTTGTCGCCTAGTACCCCATTCCTTATCTTCTAAAACACTTCTATTTCAATTGATTACAATTAATTCCAATTAATTATCTCAAATTAATCAATTAATCAATTTATCTAGACATTTTCTTACTCTAAATAATAATTTTTCCAAATTGTATCTCCCCTTAAGCACTTTCTATTCATTCTAATAATAATTCAAAAACACAAAATTATTATATCATTTAATAAAACACAAGCAGGATATTAATTGATTTCATGGGAACTGTATTTTATTGTGGCACCAGAGCTCCCTGACAGAGAAGGCTCAATGTCTCAGAAAAAAAAAAAAAACAATTCCCATGATTCCCTAGCACTAACCCTAACTCTAAAAGTGAACTCAATTTGCACTATTTCTGGCAGTCTGCAAACCCCCATAGATTCCTGAAAGAAATAACTATACTAATTTCATGATTCAAACAGTAATAAAAAAAACTATTTTTCTTTTTTAAATTCTATTTCCCTCATATTAGGACCTAGCTTACCTGGGATCCAAATTTTAGTTTCTTCATGGATTCAAATCCAAGTACGGTAGCATCTTCTTTCCCTGTCAGCTTCGCATGGAAATTTCTTTCCAAATTTTTTCTTCTTCAGCCAGCCAATCAAATCTCACTGTTCTTCAATGGGCCAGAAGCAAGTCTTCACTCTGGCCCACTAGGGAAGCATAAAAGCATATCTCATATGAACTACAGCCTCAGTCTGCTGTAGACCATTTCTGAAACAACATCAGACTGAAGAAGTCTGAGGACAAAGACCAAATTTTGATGGAGAGAAAGGAAGAAAGTGAAGCAGAGATGAGCTGGGCATGGAAAGCAGTGATTATAGGTGTATCTACACTTTAGAAATAATGTTGTTTGACACCCCTCTAACTGCTAAGGCTCCTTCCTACAGAATCCTTGGATTTGTAGTTTTATGTGGTGCCAACACTCTTTGCAGAGAAGGCTAAAAACCTTAACTACAAATCCCAGGATTCCCAGGATGGAGGTACAGCATTTAAAGTGTTGTCAAAGTGCATTATTACTACAGTGTAGATGCACCACAAATGCTTTGGAACATGAGTATTAGAAGCAAAGGACACTGTTGATCAAAGAAAGTACTTGGTCAGAGGATTGTCAGCTTCAAAGGATGGAATCATGAGGGAACCTTTAAGAGCTGAAATCATTAGGGTATTTTTAAAAAAAGAAAATTACAGAACTTAGGTCACTCAACTCTCCCTCCCAATGTGTTGGCTTGGTTTGAAAGCCACACAAGAAAGCAGCTTAGGCTACAGTAGCACGTGGGCAACTTTGCAGACACTGGCTGGTGGGAGTACTATGAAATTCTTCCCAGCATAGGAGTACATGCTGAAAACTCTTTCTCTCTCCTTTCCTTTTTCCTTTTATTTGCCATCAAATTGACTTCAACTTCTGGCCAACCTCTAAGAGAACTCCAAGAGCACCAGTCATCAGCAGCCCTGCTCAGGTCTTTTAAACTCAGGGCATCCAGTGTTTCCTGGAGTGAATCAATAGATCAATATCTGATGTGGCCTTCCTCTTTTCCTACTGCCTTCAATTTTATCAAGCATTATCATATTTTCTTCCTCCCTTGAGGTAAGCCAAATTCAACATTCTTTATATTTATCAAGTTTGTGTTACATATATTTGTAGTTTGTTTCTATTTAGCATGTCAGAGAGGATATAGGCAGCATGTTGGTTCACTGGCACTGGGCTTGTTACTTCTACTATGCAGAAGGATATACTTTGAAGAAGCATTGGGGGCATTTTCCTCACATAACACAAACTGTTTGATACTCATTTTGGCTTAAAAGGGTTAATACAGAGCAATGAATGAGCACTATGAAAGTTCCCATTCTTCTTCTCTCTCATGAAGGGAATTTGTAGATGTCATCACTGCCCTTGGCAAGCTATGCTCAAATGATTGTCTCTCACAGTTTGAGTTATGAGACTCACCATAATGGGAAATTTGGCAGACCTAAGGAACTCCTGTTCGTGGCTCATACTAGCCCCATAAATTTGCAACAACAACACAACTATGCAATAAAAATGAAATGGTAATTGGGAATACAATTGCCTGAATGATTCTGACTTTAGTGCTCAGTTGTATGCCTTTGCTCTTCAGTATCTTTTCCAGGTCTTTCATACATGCCCTTCCCATTCCTAGTCTTCTTCTTTCTTGACTGCAGTCTCTATTCTGGTCAATGTTTGATCCTAGATATGGGAATTATTTGACTATTTCAATTTCCTCATGGTCTAGATTGAATTTGTGTATTTTATCTGTGGTCATTATTTCTGTTTTCTTTATGTTCAGCATCTGACCTGCCTTTGCACTTTCATCTCTCACCTTCCTTATTAACTGTTCCAATTCCTGAATATCTTCTGCTTATATTATCATGTCATCTGCATATCTTAGGTTGCTAATGTTACTTCCTTCTAACTTAACTCCTCCTTTTTCTGATTCTAATTCTGCTTTTCTTATGATGTTTTCAGCATATAATTTACACAGGTAGAGCGATAGGATGCAATCTTGCCTGACCCCTTTAGCTACTGGTAACTACTGTGATTCCCTGAATTCTGTTCTGATGGTGGCCTCTTCTCCTTGATACAGATTCCTCATCAGGTCTATCAGATGTAGTGGCACACCCATGTCTTTGAGTACATTCCATAGCTTTTTGTGATCTATGCAATCTAATGCTTTGCTGTAGTCTATGAAACACATGCTGATTCTTTTTTGGTATTCTTTGGTGCACTCCATTAGGCATAGTATATATGCAATGTGGTCCCTAGTACCCTTTCCTTTTCTGAAACCTGCTTGCACTTCTGGAATTTCTCTCTCCATGTATGGTTGGAGTCTATGCTAGAGAATTTTGAGCATTATTTTGCTTGTGTGGGAGATTAGTGCTATTGTCCTATAGTTGCTGCAGTCTTTTGTATCTCCTTTCTTGAGGATTGGTATGTATATTGAGCATTTCCAGTCTGTTGGTCATCACTTTGTTTTCTATATTTGTTGGCATATTTCAGTTAGAACTAAAGTTGCATTTGTTTGTGGGCATTGCAGCAGTTCAAT